AAAAAAAAAAAAAAAATTGCTGAATTCTGACAGTGTTCTAGGAATGAAGGTTACAAATAAGAAAAAGAACGGACTGTGCCACCAAGGAGTTCAGTTTGGTTGCAGACACATGACAAAACAAATAAAACCCAGCAGATCATAAAGCCACACATGCAGTGGAAAAGGCACGGGCGTCGAAGCAGAACCTGGGTTTGAAAGCAAGCCCTGTGAGGTGCAAGCCTGCAACCCTGCGCTAGTTCCTGGATCTCTTGGAGCTCCAGCTTCTTCATCTTCACCGTACTGCCACCTAACCTTCTCCTCTGCCACTTCCTGTCACATGAGGTCATCTCACACAGGCCAGGTGGCTGGCAGAGAGTCCTCCATCCATTGAAATCACTGACTTGCCCACAGTTAGGATTCAGAAGTGCTTGGCATCACTCCTACTAACCTTTCAGGAAGTAGGAATGATAATAGCTTCTTTTCCAAGTAGGAGTAATACACAACAGTGGAATGAAAAAAGTGAATGTTCCAGTAGGCCAACTCCTTAGTCTTAGAAGTGGAAGCTTATAAAACATAAGTCTATAAAAGTAAATGTTACAAATAACAATTGAGATTATAAAGGGACAATGTTCAAGAATACAAACTGAATAAAAATACAATTATAAATATAGTTTTTCCAAATGTAAGAAGGCAAGAGCCAACAGGATTTCTGAAAATAATTTTACCTGGTCTAGATCCAGAGAGGAATAAACAATTTTGCCTTTGTCATCTCCAGAGAACAGTTTCATTCCATTGGGGCTCCAAGCCAGAGCTGTAATGCTGTTTTTGTGAATACCAGTGACATCAAATCTCCGAAGCTATGAACAAGGGATAAAAATAAACACAAGAAAAAGAAAAGGATAAATGCTGTGAGCTGGGGCTACATGGAAAAGGTATACAATCGCTCCTAGTTACGGAAGAGCTGGTTTCCCAATCTCCTTTTCCAAGCAGAACCCTGCACAAGGTTCCATCCCTCTAGTCACCCTGAAAAGCCACAGAGAGCATACCTTGAGGATACTAAGCAAAAATGAAATGACCCACCTGTGCTTTATGCCAAGTGTTCAATTCGGCACAAAAATGTTCTCCAATTATAAACAGCACTGTGTTAAGCTTCTCTGAGCATAATTTTTTTTTTTTTTTTGAGACGGAGTCTCACTCCATCAGGCTGGAGTGCAGTAGCGTGTTGCAATCTCGGCTCACTGCGACCTCTGGCTCCCGGGTTCAAGTAATTCTCCTGCCTCAGCCTCCCGAGTAGCTGGGACTACAGGCACACACCACCACGCCAAGCTAATTTTTGTATTTCTTTTCTTCTTTCTTCTTTCCTTTTTGACGCCACGGAGTCCTTGCTGTCGCCTTCCTGTCTAGTCCGCGGCGGTTCTGCCGCGTGAGCTCGCAGCTCTGGCGCGATCTCGGCTCACTACTAAAGCCCTCCGCTCCCCCAGTGCTCATCCATTCCTCACTGCCTCAGCTCCCCGAGTAGCTGGAACTACAGGTGCCTGCCACCCACACCTGGCTAATTTTTTGTATTTTTTAGTAGAGATGGGGTTTCACCGTGTTAGCCAGGATAGTCTCAATCTCCTGACCTTGTGATCCGCCCCACTCTCAGCTTCCAAAGTGCTTGGGATTACAGGCGTGAAAGCCACTCGGCCCTGGCTAGTCTTTTGTATTTTAGTAAGACGGGCTTTCCCTATGTGTAGGACACGGATGGTCGTGTGATCTACTCTGACCTCATAGCCTCTATAGTTATCCAGCGCCGCCTTGGCTCTTTCCAAGATGTACTGCGGATACGGCTGGGAGCCACGTGTGTCTCGGCTTCTTCTGAGCATAAACTTTCTAAGCAGATGAGGATTTCTCATTTTAAAAATCCATGAGGAATTTACCAAGAAGTTAACACGTGTTCAGATCATGAGTACTCACCTGTTTATTTCTTCCTGGCAATGAAGACACAAGTTGAAAAACTGCAACCCTGCCAGAGGCTGTGCCTGCTGCCACCAGGTCATCAAAGCAGCTCAGCAGCTTCACCACAGTGATAGATTCCGTCTTCCCCTGGGGAAACATTGAAAACAAATGAATCTGTAACTATGCAGGCTTTGAAAATGTAAAACAAGGAGGACATTACCAACGAGTGAAAAACTTCATCAGGCTGCAGCCCATACATATTCTTGATTAAAAAGGTATGCAAGTCAGAAATTACGTCTGTTGAAAAAAAACACAAACAGGGCTGGGCACGGTGGATCACACCTGTAATCCCAGCACTTTGGGAGGCCAAGGCAAGCAGATCACCTGCGGTCAGCAGTTCGAGACGTCTGGCCAACATGGTGAAACCCTCTCTCTACTAAAAACACAAAAATTAGCTGGGCATGGTGGCAGATGCCTGTAATTCCAGCTATTTGGGAGGCTGAGGCAGGAAGAATCACTTGAACCCAGGAGGTGGAGGCTGCAGTGAGATTTTCTCCCATTCGGTGGGCTGCCTTTTTACTCTGTTGATAGTGTTTTCGATGTATAAAAATGTTTAAATTTTCATGAAGTACAATTTGTCTATTTTTCCATGTTGCTTATGCCTTGATGTTATATCCAATAAATCATTGTCAAATCCAATATTGTGAAGATTTTGTCCTATGTTTTCTTCTAAAAGTTTCATAGTTTTAGTTCTTACATTTAGGTCTTTAATTCATTTTGAGTTTTTTTTTTTTTAAAGACAGGGTCCCCCTGTCTTTAAAAGGCTTGCCCAGGCTGGAGTACAGTGACACAATCTTGGCTCACTGCAACCTCCAGCTCCCGGGTTCAAGTGATTCTCATGCCTCAGCCTCCAGAGTAGCTGGGACTATAGGCATGCATCACCACACCCAGCTAATTTTTTTGTATTTTTAGTAGAGACGGGGTTTCACCTTGTTGGCCAGGATGCTCTTGATCTCCTGACCTCGTGATCTGCCCACCTCAGCCTCCCAAAGTGCTGGGATTACAGGCGTGGGCCACTGTACCCAGCCCTCATCCCCCAATTTTTTAATGTTAAAATACACCTAATATAAAATTACCAGTATCCCTTTTTAAAGTATACATTTCAGTGGTATTCAATACATTCATAATGCTCTGCAATCACCACCATCATCCATCTCCAGGACTACTGAATCTTGTAAAACTGAAACCGACCCTATTAAACAATAATTCCCCATTCATCCCTCTCCCCAGCCCCTGGCAACTACCATTCTACTTTCTGTCTTTATGATTTTTACTACCCTTTTTTTTAAAAAAAAAAACTCCTCAAATTCCTTTTACCGTGATTTTGACTACTCTAAATACCTCATATAAATGGAACCATACAGTATTTGTCTTTTTTCTGATTGGCTTATCTCCTTCATACAGTATCTTCAAGGTTCATCCGTGTTATAGCACATATCAGAACTCCTTCCTTTTTAAGACTTAGTAATATTCTCTTGTATGTACATACTACATTTTGTTTATCCATTCATCCGTTGATGGACATACAAGGGTTGCTTCTCCATTTTAACTGTGAATAAGGCTTCTAGGAATATGAGCGTACAAACATCTCTTTGAGATACTGCTTTGAATTATCTTGGGTACACACCCTACCCAGGACTGAATTTTGGTATCATATGGTAATTCTATTTTTAGTTTTTTGAGCAACCACCATACTGTTTTCTAGTAGTGGCTGCATCATCTCCTATTCCTACGAACAATGCACCAGGGTTCTGATTTCTCACATCCTTACCAACCCTTGTTATTTCCATTTTTTTTGACAGTAGCCATCCTAATGGGTGTGGGGTATAGTTTTGACATGCA